TATAAATATCAGAAACTACATATCCCATGATTCATTTCAGTGCAGACAGCATGAAGAAATGTTTTTTATTTGAATTCTTGGGATTATGATGGAAATAATTCACACCAAAATCTTGTCAAGGTATTTTAAAAGCAAAAAAGTGTCTCATCTACAATTATATTAACCTATTTAGAATATCTCAATAAATATCGTACCGTGAGTTGCATATCATGATAATATCTTACCAAGAGATTTGCATATCGTTACATCCTCAAGTCAAATACACAAAAAATACTCTTGGCGATATATCGATACAGCAGCCCACAATATGGATACTTTACCATCACTTTATACGATACGATATATCAGTATTTTCATATTTTTGCACACCCCTAGTAATACAGGAAGTTCTCCACTGTGTTTATAAACTCCTTACACCTTCACTAGAATCATTTGGGTAATTTAAACCCTGGAATTGTCACTCTCTACTGAGCTAAATGTAAAACCCACAGGCTGGGTGTGATATTCCAGCTCCCACAGATAAATATTGAATCATTTTGTATCCTTGGGCAAGACACTTAACCCCCTGTAGCTCTGCTTGTCTCCGTCTGTGTGAAAACTACACCCGCTCATCTCAGTCGTGTCCAGTCTAATCCCTCTGCTCTCTCCGCACTCACGGCCCCTCGGCTCAGGCCCAAATCCTGCATTCTTCACCCGACACAGAAGTGGCTGCTCCGTCTGTCCTCCTGGGCTAACCCCCCACCCCCACTGCCAAATCAAATATCGTCACAATATACATCGTAATTTACATGATCTCAAAAGCTGTTGGGGCTGTAGTCTTTTAGTTGTTTAGTTGATGAATCAGTAGGGATGGGACGTGATCAAATTGCCACGAGAAAATTGATTTTGTGAGATTTTCTGCTCGGTCTTTACATTTGGTACGTGCCTGAAAGAGTGACGCACCTCGCTCAAGCTCTGGAAAGTTGTGCATCTTTAACAGCTTTAGATAAAAGATTCCTCCACGTAGAGACTAGATCACATATCCACACAGAGAACACCTTAAACTCTGTCACAGTTTTTATTTCGTAGTGATAGGACCAATTTCGATGCAATATACAGTGCTAAAGATAAATGAATGAATGAAAAGATCTATAAAAGCATATTTAATTGTTTTGGGAGTTTTTGCCATGCCCCCTTTTTAGTCGAATAGACAAAGTAAATGTTCTTTGCAAAAACATAATAGCATGTCTTTTAAACGTGCATTGTGTAAGTTTTCTTTTTGGAGGGTCCGTTAAAAGCTTTTCTTCATGCTTTTTCAGAAATGTCAGAAATCATCCAAACCAAACCAAGTTAACGGTCAGATCTGTGGAAAGTCGACCCTGCTCAGTCAGAATGCCTGTTTTCTATGTATTTTTGAGCTATAAAAGCACCTGTAACTGAATAAATGTAAGGTTGAGCTGTTTAATGTCACACTGTGGAACATTTGTTTTCATATCCATTAGAAACAAAGTGATTGACCCTAAAAAAAATCAGTAGTTTAGACCTCTACAAACATGTTCTGAAATGCTTGTATTAGTTCATCTTTTCATACGTCCGTCTTCTCTGAAATGTTAACGCTTCTCGAGTTGTTTACAATGTGTCAACAGAAACTCATTTTTAAAAATAAAGGTTGTGAACAGAAAGGAATCAGATGACTTGCAGTATTTGGGTGTGTGTTTAAAGTGCTTATGACAGATTTTCATACTTGTAAATGATAGTTTTACACAAATAAAGAAGCAATTTGTGAAGAAATGTTATCAATTTACAGGAAGTAGAGACACGACGGAGAATTCGATACAAAGGTTCAACACAATTTACACCTTTTTTCAAAATCTTTTATACTTTAAACATAATTTCAACAAAGTAAATGTATTTTCTTTAATTTGTATTTACCAGATAAAACCTTCTGTGTAGTTTTGCTGGGTCATGATTTTCAACCACAAAGTAAAATTTTAAGACAAAAAAAAACAGCTTAATTAGGAAAATGAATGTGAATATTGTTGCAAAAAATGTAAATATGATGATCTTAACTAAGGGTGTGCAAAAATATGGAAATATCGATATATCTTATCATTTAATGTGATGATGTGGTATCGATATCAGGGACTGCTGTATCGATATATCCCCAAGAGTATTTTTAGGTAAATTTTACTCAATTATTTTGTTACAGCAATACAGTTATGTTGCTTGTTTAGAGGAAGGAAACGTATTTATTTTTTATTTATTTATTTATGCGACACACTGTTTAAAATGTTTGTGTTTCATATTCACTTTGCACAAGAAGTGGTTTAACAAAGACTTTTAGTATCACAGTCAAGAATTAGCCTTAATTTTTTTGAACTGTATCGAATCGAATTATCATCGTATCAGATATATCGTATCAAATCGAAAGAGCACTGTATGTATCGTATCATGGCCTATGCATCGAGGTATGTATCGTATCGGCAACTTCTTAATGATACCCAGCCTTAATCTTAACGGGGTTTTAGTAAAATGGGTAGTGTCTTAGGTAGGAGTGTGCAAAAATATCAAAATATCGACATACTGTATTGTTTAATGTGATGATACAGTATTGATATCATAGGCTGCTGTATCGATATATCTCCAAGAGTATTTTTAGTATATTTTACTAAATTATTTTGTTACAGAGCTACAGTTTTGTTGCTTGTTCAGAGGAAGGAAACTAGTTTATGCGACACATTTGACATTTTCACTGTTTTGAGGATTAAAATGTTTGTGTTGCATATTCAGTTTGCACAAGAAGTAGTTTAACAAAGACTTTTAGCACCACAGCCATGATTTAGCCTTAATTTTATTACTTTATAGTCACAGGTACCTGTCATAGCCACTTTAAACATAGCCACTGTTGCGTTGTCTCGAGCTTGTCCGTTAGCTTGTCTCGTCTGCGTTATTATTCAGGCTCACACAGAACTCTGCGGCTAATCCTGACCAAAAAGAAGCAGATTATCTCGTATTGAAACAGGAGTCAGTGGTTTTTCAAGTGGACAGCAGCACAAAGGGCTCTCGACTTAATCTCACTCAAAGAATCTGTTTATTGCATAAGATCTATTGAAATTGTAATGAACTCTGTGTCTGGGCTATTTTGGGTTTCTGGGTGTGTTGTGGTTGTCTTCCAGTCTGATAAATTGACTTCTTGCTTTGCCATTGTTGTGTTGTCAGGAAACACAAAGGAAAAGGCTTGACACTTGATACTAATTTTCGATACCACAATGGTTAATTTGTTTTAAACGTAATAGGAATTTCTTTAATATTGCCATAACTACTAGACCAGGGGTGGGCAAAAAGGGTTTTCCATGGGGCTACACGAGAAACAGAAAATATTGTGGAAAGTATATGTTAGAGTATAAGAATTTATGTTATGGCTAAGCAATGAAAAAGTGAGGTTGCCTTACAAAAATGTCATTAAAAAAACTCTAAAATAAAAATAATGCAGCTTTAGTCCATGCATGGGATAAAATTATAAAATATGTTTATTTTGTAATTCCAAATGAGCTTAAATGAGCTGGTCAAAGTTGAGTAAAGGGCAGTATTTGGCCCCAGAGCTGCAGAATGGCCTGTACTAGACATTACATACATTATTTGTATTTATCAACTAGGGCTCTAGTCTTTTGTTGTTGTGGTCGATAAAGCAAGCTACGGTGTCTTAGTGTTAGTTGACTAAGTAATAGGAATGTCACAATAATCGAAATATTATGATATTGTATCGTCAAAAGTCTCATAATAATATCGTGGGCTGTCACAATATATTGAATTACAAAATCCTTTGCCTAAATGCGTGGTTTTATAGTAGCAACAGCTTATGAACTTTGGAAATTACATATCCCATGATTCATTTCAGTGCTGACAGCATGAAGAAATATGTTTTTACTTGAATTCTTGGGATTATGATGGAAATAATTCACACCAAAATCTTGTCAAGGTATTTTAAAAGCAAAAAAAGTGTCCCATCTACAGTTATATTAGCCTCTCCAAAATATCGCAATAAATATGGTACCGTGAGACGCATATCATGATAATATTGTAGTGTGAGATTTGGATATTGTTACAGCCCTACTAATTAATGAAGATTATATGGACCAGCAGAAAGCAGAAGGCATGAACTGAGTTAGCTGGAGTTTCACTTTTGAGAAAGAGGTTTAGTAACACTACTGTATACATAAAGTTTATTACAAAATTCTGTGAAGTTTTGTAAACTTCTCTCAAACAAATGAGAAGAAGAGAAGAGGCTTGAAGTTGTAGTTCTGAAGTTTATTTATTTGAGTATCCAGCACCCAGAGACATGAATCCTCAAGACTGTGTGCATTGTCGATTTCAGTCTAGTCCAGTCCAGTGTGACTTTGCTTCTATTGTAGGGAGTATTACACCTGATTATCCAAGATAATAAGAACTGAGCTGACAGTGAGAGCCCTAGAGACAACACAGAAATGGAATACAATGTACAGGCCAAGGCTTTAGCTTTAGTCGACTACAACTACATTTAATCCCAGTTAGTTGTTTTTTTGTTTTTTGATTTTGTTTTTTTACTAATAACTAAGCCTGTCACAATAACAAATTTAGTAGTATGATATATTCCTGAAGTAAATATAGATGATAAATGATAATACTGAAACTAAGTTAGGCTTCTGACACAAAAACCCAAGAGTAGATTTAAACCACAAAAACTATTCTAAATTTAGAATATTATTTAAAAAAAAGTCCTGAACTGCAATAAATAAACAGAGGAATGAAACGCAATGAAATTACTTAGTTTACATCTGTAATGAGTCATGAAACCTTTTATGGCTTATCGTATAGTCTTAAAATAACCAAAAATTTCCTAGCAGTGCAATGAAAACACAAAATATATATAGACCATAACTCGATCTAGTAATTATCGTGGCATTCCTACTGATAACATTTGATTGCTTATCCATAATAATTGAAATCTGTGTTAATAGAAATGTCCTTGTGTGTTTTTCCAGTGCACGGTGCAGGTGAAGCTGGAGCTGGGGCACAGGGCTCAGCTGAGGAAGAAGATGACGTCCGAAGGCTTCACTCACGACTGGATGGTGTTTGTGCGCGGCCCCGAGACTGGAGACATCCAGCACTTTGTGGAGAAGGTCGTGTTCCGCCTCCACGAGAGCTTCCCCAAACCCAAGAGAGGTGAGAGATGGCGTGCTGAAGCTGTTGTAAAAGATATATGGAGCTTTCTTGGGATTCATTATTTTACATTTTGTTCAGTGTAATCGGCAAAATTGTTATAAACAGCTTAATTATAAAAACATGTTTATTCTGACTTCCTGTTCAAAACTACAGAACTGTTAGACCCTGGCTGTATCTGAATCAGAGTCTGCACTATTCCCTACTCACCATTTTTACTTGTATCTGAATGTCCAGTTGATGAAAAAGTAGTGCACTCAAAATTTCCCACAATGCACTTTGAAAAGTAGTGGGCATCGGTGGTCACTAGAGCGGTCAATATAGACCACAATGCATTGCGAGAGTTGGAAAAACCCCAGTGGACAGAGACAGGTGTTTAACACTTTCACAACTCAGAACAACACAATTCATGCATGTGGTTTTATTGTTTAAAAAAAGCCATACTTTTTGTGTTGAGTCTGTTTTTTTATAGGCACAGCAGTGGGCATAGATGGGGGTGGGTGAAAACAAATTTCATATGCAGGACAGTGCTGGTTTACTCAAACATCCATGAATCAATCAAAATACAACTTTGAGTAAGCTGATTTTGAGGGGACGCTGTTATAATTTGGTTGAAAGCTCTTAACAGTCGATTTTTACATTATACATCACCTTGAAAGACATTTATACACTAATATTATTCTCACTAAAGGGTTAACGCCTTGAGAATGTCCAATCTGATCATAGAAGCTAAAAAGTGTGAGCTGTGTGACATGGGTACATCAATACATATATTTTCTCAAACATACTTGAACATTGCAAACTGTCCACCATGAGAGCTTAGTCAAAGTATTAGGCTCATTGTGCCATTAGTGCACATTATAAAAAGAGCTGTTTTATTTAAAGATCATATGTTACACCAAATTGACTCTTGTGAGCTTTTAACCGTGTTAGAATGTTGTGACCTCCTCAAAAACATACCTGGAGTCATTTTGTTTCATTCACATGTTTGCATAATCCTTTATTATTAGTCTGTCTACATCTCCAACACTCTAAATGCTCTGTTCCACCTTGTGATATCATGAAGTGGTAGTTTTCAAGTTAACAACTCCTTTTACGTTTAGATCATTAGAGATTGGCAATTCCATGACTGAAATGATCCAAATGTTTCTAGTCAGGTGTATGGAGTTTAAAAACACAGTGGAGTGTATCACCACATGACATCACAGGGTGTAAGAGTGTTTTCTGTTTGAGAGAAGAACTCAGCCTAAATATGCTGGGTGTGGTTGTTAAATATGTGTGAATGAGACTTAGACTAAGACTTAGACAAACTTTATTGATCCACAAGGGAAATTATTTGGACACAGTATGTCACACATCACAATATAATATAATAACAAAGAGTAAAAATATAAATGGTTTATAATAAATTCTAAATAAGTCGTATAAAAGAGCAAGAGACAAGTGTCAGATAAGACATAATTATATAAATGTGTATGTACAAGTCAAAATAAAATGGAAAAGTAAGTAATAAAATATAAAATCTGAGCATTATACTAGAGGAGAAGAAACAAAACACAACTCCAGGTCTGTTTGTGATGAGGAAACAACATTTTAACGTAATATGTGACCTTTAATGAACGAACTCTCATATTTTCTGTACAAGGAAACTGTGACTTTCCCTGAACACATCACCGTATTTGCATTAACGCTGTTCTGATTGAGGAGAACAGCTCACATGAGGCGTTCAGGGCCTGTCAGGAACCCGGGGTAATTTCCTGGGTCAAACTGAGGCTAATCATTACAGTGATTTCTCCAAGCTAAAGCCTGCGCTGATGAAAAACCACCATGAAGAATCTATAATCGTTTTCTCTTTACTTCACCGCCTCGCAGAAATGAAACGCAGGATTTGTCTTTTAGATGGCAAAACATATTTTTTAAAGGGCCCATACTACGCTAATTTCTCTCTTTCTCTGTTATAATTTTGTTTCCTCATGAAAAACATATCTAGAATTATGTTTTTATTTCATTTACACATGTTTAACCCAGAAACCTCCATATTTAAGATGAGTTCTGTTCCACTTTGTGATGTCATATGGTAATACAGGAAGTGCTCTAATGAGTTTGTTTTAAAACTCCATACACCTTCACTAAAATCATTTGGATACTTTCAGCCCTGGATTTGCCTTTCTCTACTGAACTAAGATAAAAGTAGCTGTTAACTTGAAAACTACTACTTAATGACATCACAAGGTGGAGCAGAGCATTTTGACCTTTGGAGATGTAAACAGATTAATAATACTACAACAACTGGATGTAGATTTTTGATTAGGTAACGGCATTAAAACATGACTTAAAGTTCACAAGAGTCACTTTTGTGTATCCTGTAACCTTTAAACTACATGTGTCAGGTTTTCGTGTTTTTTCTAATTATTACTTGGTTTATTCGGGACAGCACCTGATGTAAACCGTCATCATAGTTTTATATCAGTGGCAGTTTGTGGAAATAAAAAAAAGTTGAGGAACAACAAGAATACAGGAAGTAGTGAGTTCTAAAACTGAATACCTCTACACAGAAAGTTCATCCAACAATGTATGCACAAGGAAGGCATTTTTCTAACAGTGTGACCTTTTCTTTAGCACAATAACATCTAATCATTAATTATTATTATTTTTTATCTTATATGTAATTATGTTGAAAAAAGGATACTAACCTGTCATATGTACTTTAAATTCTGCAGTCTGTTACCACTATAACTCAATATTCTGGTTGTGTTTTGGTAGAACTGTATTGTCTGTGTTTAAAGAGAGTGTTTGTTTTGTAGTTTCTAATATAAATGTTTTTTCTTAAACAGTGTGTAAAGAGCCGCCATACAAAGTGGAGGAGTCGGGGTACGCAGGCTTCCTCATGCCCATCGAGGTCTACTTTAAGAACAAGGTGAGGTTAAAAAAAAATTAAAATAAAAAAAAAACAATATAAATGTTAGAGCTACAGTTTGTAACTTCATCTGTATGTTTCCATGGAAATATAAAGTTAAAACCACACTTTGGAGCATTCTTCATAAAGATACGGGTCTGGTCAAGTGGTAACGGAGGGAAACAGGGGCAGATTTTTTACATTCAAATAGCTCTTATTCAGAAACTAGAGGGACTATTGAAATAAGTAAAGTATCAGAATGTAGGAAAGAGTTACACTCCAACAGGGTCAAGTTAAACCTGTGATATTCTTTCAAGTTGTTGACAAAAAAGTAATAAACTCATGACGGTAACGGAGGGAATGAAATATGCAGCATTTTTTGGGCAATAAATCCAAACAGTGATAACTCTTGGTTCTCACTTACATATCCTTAACAAACTGGTTTGAATATTTGCTTCATATAGTTTTCTACCATATGGTACAAGATTAGGTTGAAAAACCTCTTACTTTTTGAGTCATGAGATTTTTTATTAAGAAAGGTCATGGTAACAGAGGGAAAAGTAATGGAGGGAAAATTGTGCAAACAAGTAGAAGGTGCAGGATTTTACATAATTTGTCAACTTTTTTCTTCCGAATACTTTAATATTACTTCAAAATGAAAAGTTACTATTTCTGTAAAATATGTCAGTCTTTCCAAGCTAATTTTTATCATTTTAAATACTTTTTTTTAAAATCATGTATCTTCATTCAGTTCAAAGATCGAATAACACAAGATATGATGAAATACATCAATTTATTTACATGATTTGCAGAACCAAAAATGGTACAGAAAAAAGGTCAACAGTTTCATAAACTAGAGTACATATGTATCTGTTGAATACATTTTTATATCAGATGCATTAACTTGAATTTTTGGCCTTGCCGTTTACTTCTGCTTGATCGGGCCCATAGATGAGTTTTATGCAATACTGTGGAAGATTAGAACCAAAGGAACAATATTTCCATGGAAACAAGTGGGCCAAGTTGAATCAGGTTTGTGGAGATACAAGTCTGACTACTGACGCATGTTTATCTTATGTTTTTCCAGTGTTTTCCAAAATATAACATGATTTTACTTCAGTTTATTTAATTTTTTGGCAAAAATGTTACACACTCTGGCTTAAATTTTTTGTATTTCCATAATAGTTTTTTGTGGTTAATCTGATTATTAGTTATTTTAGCCTTAGAGTTTTATATTAGACTACAGAAATCCAATGTTTTTTGTCTTTCCATTTTAGTAATTCAAACAGAATCTTAAAGGTGCATTGGGTAACTTTTCTACTGGAAGATCTGCAACCTGCTTGTCTTCATGGAGATTTTATTGCTTTATCTAGAATGTTCCAACTCTAGGCTACATTACAGGTCAGATCTGTGCAGAGGCGACCCTGTTGAAAAAGAGAATATATGTATTTTTCAGCAATAGAAACAAAATGTAAATAATAAACGCTAGATAGATGTCTTTAATGTCATAACATGGAACATTAAAGGCAAAGCAATAACATCTCCATGGAGACAAGCAGGTGACAGACCCTCTCACCTCCAGAAAAGTTACACAGTGTACCTTTCAAATGGTATGCTGCACAATTATATTCTTCAATTGCCTTTTTATTTGATTACAAATAATGAAAAACGATCCTACTGTATGTGTAAAAGTGGGATATTACGATACAAACTTGGATCCTTGGCTCTGATCCGCCCACATCTGCTGCTCTCACTGTTTTAAAAGGTCTCATTAAAGTGAATGGCAGCGCTCACTGGATAAAGGCTCAATAAATGCACAGAGAAAGTACCATTCACTGTCTATTAAAGGCCCTCGCATACAGTAAATCTGGGTTAATGTTTACATCATGTTGTTTAAATACCAAAGACACTGCCTGTTTAGACTCTCACAAACTCTGTCTCTGTAATAATTGGATCAAGGAAATGCCGTCTCACTGTGAGGTTAAAGGTCGGCTGTTAATTCTAGGTCTACTTTTCTCCTATAGTTTTTTTTGTAGGTTTCATGCTATGGCAACTGTCCTCTGTCGTCATAGCAATTATGCAATTTAATTCAACTTAATTCAACATATTATATTTTTTGAATCAGGATATGTCCTCAGTGGGTCCTCACAAAGTGCTTCAAATCTGTAAACCATGATCTTTGTTATATTTTAATGAATAAAACAGAAGTGCAATTTAAGATTATAATGGTTAACTGTGCACGATACACTATTTTAAAGATGCACTATGTAACTTTCCTGTTGGGGCTTCTGCCAATTACATGTCTCCATAGAGATTTTATCGCTTTGGACAGTATATCCCACACACAATATACAATTTTCCATGAAGCATTTACTCAGTAACAAATATTGTTTAAAAGTTATTGCTTGTGTTCACAAAAAGGAAAAAAATAATAATAATTTTATCGCAGCTGCCATAGTTAAATGCCATACAGTGGAAAATTTCAGGCCGTAGCATATCCCTTGAGACGAGGTGGTGACAGGTGATGCGATTAAGTGAAACGTGTCACTCAATATCTGGGATATAATATAAGACATAATCTCTTGGAAGTCCATGTTTGGTTGAGCCTCGTTGGCTGTTGGCTGATCATGTTGTTAGCGTTGTCATTTCTTTGTGTTGCAGCTGTAGCTTCTTGTCTGTCTCAGCTTTCATTTGCATTTTCTTTCTAATATTTCACTCTCTTTCATCATCTTGTTCGTTTGAAGGTTTGTCTGAAGGTTTGTAGTTTCTCTGACCAAAATGTACAAAAAGAATATATAATTTTTAATACTTGGATTGACAATTTCTGCTATCTACTACTAACTACTACCAATTATCTGTCTTGAATTTATTCAGTTAGTATCTGTTTTTACTGCTAAAAGAAAGAAAAATAAGCATTCTTATTTTGAGTGGTTGCCTCTCCACAGGTTTGACCTTTTAATCTGATGAGGAGATAAGTTTTATGCCTTACTTTTAGTACATTTCAAGAAAAACAATAACGGCTCCAAAAACAAAAACACAATTTGTTCTGCTTAACCAGTGTGTGTTTAATCATAGACTGTGTATATAAATGGACATAACTAACCCACTAGCCGCCGTGTTCCAAATAGGAAGTGAGCATGGTGGGCTCTTCCAGCTCCATCAACTTTGGTTCCATTTCACTTTGTATTGAAAAATTGTCGCCCCTCTCTCTGTAACTGCTGCTGTGAGCCTTGTCATTTTAGTCTTCAAATGTTCATATTAACCCTCTCTACATGATCTTGGGGATTTTATTTTACTATTTTGTCCCTAAATAAATTCCTATCCCTTGTTTGACCCATTGGCATTGTGAGCTTCATTTGACTAGAGCCTTAGTCCACTTCTTTTTCAAACCATGATTTTTAAACCACGGAGAACCACCAGTGACTTCTTTAGGCATGAATTGTAGAAGTATACATGGTTCAGTGATGATATAATTGATTTTTGTCAAACTTTGTAACTTTTTGTTTGGTTTTCTTGTTTTAGGAGGAGCCAAAAAAGGTTTGCTTCAACTACGACCTGTTCCTAAACTTGGAGGGAAACCCGCCCGTGAACCACCTGCGCTGTGAGAAACTGACCTTTAACAACCCCACCAAAGAGTTCAGGAGGAAGCTGATCAAGGCCGGAGGGGTGAGGCTTTAGACACATACACACTGAAAAGAAGTGACTGTACCCATTTTTTTGTTTTGTTTTGTTTTTTAATTGAACGCAAGTAGCTGTACCTGATTTTTTTTTTTTTCATGTATTTGAGCAATTGTTATCTTGAGTCAACACACAATTGATCTATTGTATTAGCAACTCTTGAGGTTAAAATAAGTCCACTGTGTACTGTCTGCCTTCTAATTATCAAGCATTTTGGTACGCATTGTGTAACTTGTCTGGTGGATGTTCCGTCAAATGCTTTTCTTCATGGAGATGTTATTGCTTTGTCTGGAATTTTTCACAGTATGGCATTAAACCTGTCTATCTTCATGGAGACCAAACCAGACCAAGTTTCAGCTCAGAGTCAGAATGCCTGTTTTTCTTGTTATTTTTGAGCTTTAAAACTACTTGTAATTTAATACACGTAAGAGCAGAAGGACTCCCAACCAAAAAGTTACATAGTGCACCTTTAAATCCTCTCAGAGAATCAGTGCTGTGTTGACTTGCTGAACATTTTACATAAATCAAACTGCTTTATATCATATTTTAGTGGTAAAACTTTTCTCAAATTCTCAATTGAAATGAATAGGATTCCCACTGAAGCAGAAGTGCCACAAAGAAAGTACAGTTCAGTGACATTTAGATGCAAAAGTGGGTGGGGCGGAATAGAGAAAATCATAAGTTAAAGTGGCTTTTTCCCGTGTATTTGAACAAAATATGTTTTGACTTCTAGATATATTGTATAAGCAGATCTTAAGGTCAAAGTCCACTGTACTGTCTGCATCTTAATTATAAAGCTTTGTTGCCCAAGTTTTAGGAAATACTTTTTTAGCATTTGAGTTGTTTGTTATCGTGACTGCAAAACTCCGCTCAGATTTTTCATTAATACACTTTTTTTGTAAATATCCTCTAACTAGAAGCATTCACATTTCAACCTTTTATTTGTTAAAATTTATTTTGACGATAGAAAAACTGTAGAAAAGTGTAGAAATAGAAATAATTCTTTCACTCAAAAGTATGGATGTAACAGTAACTGAAATATCATCAAAAGTCTCACAATAATATCATGCGCCATCACAATGTATCGGATTACAAGTCACTTTGCTTAAATTCATTGTTTTGGTGCTGCAGTAGCTAAAACTGAGTGAACTACATATACCATGATCCTTTGCTACAGTACAGTGCAGACTACATGAAAAGCAATAAAAATAATAATCAGAATCATCATTTTTAAACATGTTTGAATCTTAATTCTTTGGTTTATGACAGAACAAATGTCTTGTCAAGGCATTTTAAAAGGAAAAAGTCACATTTTCACAATTTTGTTAGCCTCTACAAAATATGACAATAAATATCGTACCGTGGGTTGTGTATCGTGAAAATACCATATTGAGAGATTTGAATATCATTACATCTCTACTCAAAAAATAATCATGTACATGTGGACTACTACAGTATTTCTTAGTTGCAATCTTAGTTCAATTTGACATGACATTTGTGTAATTAATATTTGTCTAATCATTTTAAATTCCAAAGCTTAATCTTGTTGGCATTATATCTGGTCTCCTATTGATTTGTTTTGTAATAATAATGATGATACATTTAATTTATAAAGTGCTTTTCTAGACACTCAAAGACACTGGAAGACACTGTGTTTCATTAGCTGTTTTTAGAAGAGCTTTATTCATAGTTTCGTGTTGTTACATCATCTTGTTCTTTTGAAGTTGTCTTTGTAATTTCTCCGACACCGTAAAAAGAAATGTCTATTTTGAGCTCACTTGAATTACGAATATTAGTAGTTTGTTTAGTAACACACAGTATGCACTTTTTATTTATTATTTTAGTTTCAAGCCACAGTTTCTTGATAAAACTGCATTAGTCACATTAAAATATTCAACAGATTTGAAATGCTTTTTTGTCTCCAGGTCTTGGTGGTTCCTGAAGGAGCAGAAGCCGTGTCCAGGCCCAGTCCAGACTACCCCATGTTACCCACAATCCCCCTCTCCGCTTTCTCTGACCCCAAGAAAACAAAGACCTCTCATGTGTCAAAGGTACGTTTAAAAATAATAATAAATTTAACACAAAAAAATGCACTTTAAACTTGCACAGTATAACTTTTCTGGTGGCGGCTGCTTGTCTCCATAGCTATGTTTTTGTTTTGCCTGAAATGTTTCACAGTATGGCATTAAACCTCTCTACATCGCCTTGATTCAGTTACAGTTTTTCATATTACTGAAAAAATACTTGGCCCTGTGACTTCATCTCCTTGTCTCTGTGAAGATTGAACATAGATACGATGAATGCCTTACTCTGGAACATTTCAAACCCAACAGTAACATCTCCATGGAGACAAGAAGGTAGAAGTTAAATTGTGAAACCTTTATCAGTATAACCATTATTTATACAGGCTGAATTGCATTAAGGGCTCTGTGTGACTGATTACTAAAGGAAACAGGAAACCCATCCCTTTAAATGTCAAAGCCTTTGTGTTGTACTGAACCAAAATGTACTTAAGAACATTTTGTCTTAAACTGTAACTTTTAATTTGTGTAATAGCTGCCACACGCCTAAGAAAATTACAGTTTGAATATCACCTTTATTAAATTAGTGAGTATCTCGAATGCATAACTTGATTAGTTGCCAGCAGTTATAATAGTTTTGAACTCTTAATATAACGCCGATGACTTTTATGGCCAATTATTACAGCAGACTGTTCCTACTTTTTCTGTTCACATGTTCCGCTGAATTTCAAAAAGTAAAACAAAAGGTTGTAGAAATCAGTAGAAATTTAAAGCCGCACTACACAACTTTTGGTGCGTGTTTTCCCTGAAGATTGACATGAAATTTATCCATCTTATATTTAATCAGTAACAAGTGATCTTATTGTGCTAAATAAACACGTGTTCTTATCGAGATCTTGTGTCTCTACAAATCTGAAATGTAACTTGTCCTACTGATCATCTGCTTGTCTCCACGGAATTAGATATACTTAATACAATAATGTGGATCATTCTAGACAAACCTATAACATCTCCATCTACCAGAAAAGTTGCATTGTGTGGCTTTAAATGATTTTGTAAATTAGTTTTTAGTATTGTTTTGACCTGGTAGAGCTAGGAGTTAGGGCTGCTAGATTATGGAAAAAAATCATTATCGCGATTATTTTGGTCAATAGTGAAATCACAATTACTAAAAGGATTATTTTTTTAGTGACACGATGCATTTATTCAGCATTTCTCTCTCAAAAAAACAAACAAATTGTTATTGATAATGTACACAAAACTTTCAAATTGAAAATAAATATAGGCTACAAATATGAACCAAATATGTATAAGCTGTTTTGCGATGTATAAAACATAAATGAATAAAATATACTTTGAACATGAAATAAATAGAAAAACATTAATGTATCCAAAATAAACTATATATCCAGCTGTTCTACAATCTCTGTATTTAAAAAACAAAGTAAATATACTTATTTATATAAAAAAATATCCCAAAATAAACTTTGTTAAGCTTTAAATTGTTTCAACTCGATTATATGAGTTTGGAGATCGTTTGATACACAAATCGAAAGTGCAATCAAAATTCGATTAAGTGCACAGTCTTACTAGGAACTGAAAATGTACGTATATTTTATTTATTTAAAAATGGATTAAATAAAATGAAATGGATTGTGCTGGCAAATACATTTCAGCAGACCAGAAAAGTGTATTTTTTTGTGATTAGCATTATTTAAGTGCTCATACAACGTTTTGATCTGATCTGATATGTTGTTTCCTCATCACAAACAGACCAGGAGATGTGTTGCAACTCCAGGTCTGTTTGTGATGAGATTTAGGCAGTGTTCTTCTCTGGAAAACACTGTTCCACCTTGTGATGTCATGTGGTAATAAAGGAAATGTGTTTAAACTCCATACGCCTTTACAAGAATAATTTGGATAATTTTAGCCATAGAAATTCCACTCTCTACTGAACAAAAGGTTAAAAGTAGCAGTTAACTTTAAAACTCATGACATCACAGGGTGGAACAGAGCATTTTGAGCTTAATAGATGTAGACAGATTAATAATAAAGGATTACTCACGCAAACGTGTGAATAAAACAAATACAACTCCAGGTATGATTTGATGAGGAGGTAACAACATTATAACATTGCTTAAAGCTCACAAAAGTCAAATTTGTCTAATATTAGACCTTAAAATGTCATTGATGGAAATTGAGTGAGTCACGTTAGCAAACAAATACATTTCAGCCAACAAGAAAAGTTACAGTTTTAGCCAAATTTCTGATCAGCCTTTTGTGTTTTTCATTTTAGGAGCCCAGCAAAGAAGGAAGTGGAAGCAGCAAAGGTCCCAAACCACACAAAGTAACCAAGGAGCACCGAGAGCGCCCCCGAAAGGACTCTGAAAGTAAAGCACCATCTAAAGGTGACACGGACAGAGATGGCAGCAGCAAGAGCAGCAGGGACCCCTCCTCTTCATCATCCTCAAAAAAACCCTCAGACATTAAAGTCAAAGATGAAGTCAAAGTCCTACCTAAAGCAGCTTTTAAGGAGCCCAAACTCACCCTGAAGGAGTCCAAGATGGAGGGCATGTCGCCCAAGGGTGGGGGTCCGGGTGCGGGTGGAGGAGGTGGTGGAGGAGGGGGAGGAGGGACAGGAGAGGCTAAAGCTCCAGGGAAAAGACCATCTACTGTGGACTCTCCCAAGCCCAGCACCAAGAAGCAAAAGAAGGGGAGCTCGGAGGGACCCAAGGGTACTGGGGGCGGGACTGGTTTCACCGGGTCGTCCCCACGGGTGTCATCTTCGTCTGCAGGGGGGCAAGTGTACGAGAAGAAGCCCTCTAAAGACAAAGTGCGCTGGGTGAAGGGCAAAAACGATGCACTGGAAATGAAAGAGTCAAAGAAACTACAGGAGTCTGAGGAGTCCAACTCAGAAGATGAGGCATCGTCCAAGTCAGAGGTTTGTGGTTTACTGCAAGGAATTATGGGAGATTGAGAATTGTATTGGTGTAAATGTAAAAAATTGTTAAGCAGTTTTGTACCATACCAAATGATTGATGGATGGGTGGCAGTAGCTCAGTTGGTCGCCCACTGATCTGAAGGTTGGCGGTTCGATTCCAGCTCTTGACATAAAAAAAAAAAAAAAAACATCACAGGTTGAGCGGTCAGATCCACTGACCCACAGGTTGGCTGGTGTGATTCCAGCTCCCACAGATGAATGCTGTCGTTGTGTCCTTGGGCAAGACACTTAACCCACCTTGCCCACAGTGTCTGTGTACACTGGTGTGTGAATGGGTGAGTGGTTCCTTGTTGTAAAGAGCTTTGAGTCCCTTGAAGGTGGAAAAGCGCTATAGAAAAATGTGACCATTTACTATTTTACATTTGAGCTAAAACAGAAAAGGTTCTGGACCTTCCATAGTTCCACACACTTTAACTTTTTTTTTTAACTTTTGGCTAAATTTGCAGAATGTCATCGTGTTTGAAGCATCTGCCTTTGGTCTAAATATAGCATTAATAATGTTGCATTTTGACTTGGTGGATATTGGGGCTGGTTAACAGCAAATTGTCTTTTTAAATAATTTCTTTCTCATTCCTTTTTACTAATTTTTAATCCTGTGTTTTACAAAATTGCACTGTCCCGCTCTCCTTTCCTTTAGCTAATTTATCCTTTATTATCTTTCTCTCACAGCAGTCTGCTCCTTCGAGTGCCTCAAACTCCAGCTCGAGCTCAGACTCAAGTTCAGACTCGGACTTTGAACCTGGACAAAAACCAGGACAAGGTAAAGCCCCTGCAGCTGTGTGCTGTATACTCTGGTACATATAGTGCATTCTAGAGCTGCTTTTTAACCTGAGAAGTTTGTTTACCTCATGTTTTTACCTCTTTTGTGTTGCCCCAGGCCCTTTGAGATCGATGGTGGAGGAGATTCAGTCAGAGGAGTCAGATGACGATGACAGCAGCTCAGAAGAGGAAACTCCCGTCAAAACCAACCCAGGAAACTCGCGGTGAGAGGGCATTCAACACCAACTCATTTTCACACTGTTATGTTTAACTCTTAAAGATAAAGAAATTGACTCTTTTCAGTTTCAAGTCATGTGATAATGCTGTTACCAACTCAAAAACAGACCTGGAGTTGTGTTTTGTTTCATTCACACATGTTTGAGTAACCATTTATTATTAGTTTGTCTACATCTCCAAAGCTTAAAATGCTCTGTTCCACGTTGTGATGTCATTATGAGGTGGTTTTTAACTTAACAGCTCCTTTTACCTTTTGTTCAAGTAGAGATTGGTAATTCCAGGGCTGAAATTATCCCCAAAAATCTAGTGAAGGTGGGATCCATTCCATCTGAGAGAATAACTCAGCCTTAATGTGCAGTGTTTGTGTGTTAAACATGTGTGAATGAAACAAAACACAGCTCCAGGTATGTTTTAGATGAGGAAACATTATAACATACATCAGAAAACTGCATAATATGGACCCTTTAACTACTATAAGGATTTAGTTTTTAGTATCCTTGCTCAAACGCAGCTGCCAAGAAAGAGTTTATTTACTTCTTAAATACATATGATACTGTTTCTTTGTAGGATTCAGTAGCGTGACAGTAACAGCATCTAGTTCTGACATGGGGAAATCCCTTGCCATTCGATTCTTAGGTGTTGAAACATTTGAAGTTTCAATGGTAATTAAAATTTTAGTCATGTTTCATATCAAGTGTGATAACAACTACAAGAAATAGGTAACAGTTCTTCTAGTATGCCTAAGTGTGCCCAGTAGTACAGTACAGTCGATATGAAAAACGGAAAGATAAAAGCACTTTACATTTGGGTTAAGCAGTCAAGATTGAACTCAGATGACCTTATTTCACTTCTGAAATAGTCTATGATTACATTTTGACCTGAAAAATCAGTTATTGATTTAATCTTGACATTCCTCGCAGGGATGTATCGGCAGAAGTCTCGCAATAATATCTTGGGATGTCACAATATGTTCTGTTATCTTTTTTTTTTTGCTTAAATGTACTGAGGGAACTACATAAACCATGGGATTTTGTTTAATTTCAATGCAGACAGTATTAAGAAATAACTGTTTTAAAGAACTTCGATTATAGCTCCAAATGCTTATCTAGGGTTTTTAAAAGGAAAAAGTAGCATTTCTTCAATCCTGTCAGTGTCTACATAAAATCGCATTAAATATTTTACTAATAAATGAATATAGTGACAATATCATAATGAGAGATTTGCACATTGTTACGTGCTTAATTCCTTGTAAGCTGTGGGCAGTATTAGAATGAATTGTGACTAAACTGTATTTTGAGTTTTAGGCTTGTGTTGCTCCTGCCGGTCCTGTCACTCCTGTCTGTTTGACCTTTAACCTTTGCTCCTGTCGCAGCCTGAGCCTGGACAGTGAGAGTGACAGCAGCGATGGGTCCCACCGCCCCAGCAGAGACCCCGCCCCTCCTGCTCAGAAACACGCCTCCAACAACAACAAAGTGAGTCCAGCCTCTCATGTTACCTCTCTGTAATACTGTCTGCTCTGCTTTTCTACGACGCATGATAATCAGTGACACAGTTTAAATGGTAATATGTGTTCATACAGACATGGGACTTGGACTTGACTTGATAAAATGGACTAAGACTTGGGACTCGACTTGGACTTGAGGCCTGTGACTGCTTTTCTCTTTACAGTGTATAAATGTGGTTCTTAATCATTTTAAAGGAACAAACTGGAACATGTCCCTCTCACTTTTCTGTTTGTTACTTTGGTTGTAACTGAAGTATTGTGATATGATATCCTCAAATGTACTACAGTAATATACAGAACAATACAGTAAAACAAGGACTACAAAGACATGATCCTTTCATTTCAGTGCAGACTACATGACAAAATAATTCTTATTTAGCACTAAAATCTGAATTCTTTCTTTTCTGACCATAATAATTCACACTAAGATTTTGTCAAGACATTTAAAAAGGAAAAATTTGCATTTCTACAACTCTTATATAAATACTCAAATATAAACATACCATGACTTTTTAAGTACAATTTAGTTTAAAAGTCATATAAATAGCAAAAATCTGGTACTTTGGTTTAAACACTTGAAATGACCTGAAGCTCAAAGCAGACGACTTGGACTTGACTTGGACTTATGGGCCAGTGACTTGAGACTCGACTTGAACTTGGGACTTGACTCAGACTTGAGGTCAGAGACTTGAGACTTACTTGAGACTTGCATAACAACGACTTGGTCCCACGTCTGTGTTCATATAAAGATTTTCTTGGAGCCAGATCCTGATTTGAATTTTTAAAAAACTAAAAATCATGTAATATTCTGTTTAAGAGGTAAATAAAGTAATCTGCTTCTTCATACTTGACTGTGATTGGTACAACTCAAGTACTTTTGTCTCAGAAGTGTTAGCATTTATTCAGTTGCATGTTTTATTGCTCACAAATCCTTCTAAAAATATGCATACTTACCTAGGTAATTGTGCTTGATAATAGAAAAGTCTGGGGGAAGTAAATGGAAAATTTACTTCTAGAAAACACAGTGCGCTTCTGTGCCATCTCCTTTCCCGTCTCTGATTTTCTCTGATATTTTCTGTGCAGGTTTCAGGCAGAAAGAGCCCCGACTCCACCTTCCGCTCGGAGAAGGTGCTGAAGAAGGGATACGACAAGGTAGGAAGGGTAAATCAAACTTTTTTATTCCCACATTTTTCACATCCACCTTTTTTGTCAAAGTTCAACAAACCAGAACACTTTCAAGACGTAGTCACAACAGGTGGTAACTCTATGCACATGTGAGAGGGTGGAGTATAAATTTAGAACTACACTAAAGACAAAATATAAGACAAAATATCCACTTTCACTTTCACTGAGAACAAGATCCAGACACTGTTACTGGGGAAGTGATATTACGTTGGTTCTGTATTACTTTACTAAACATCTGCAGAGTGTCATTGTAGTGCGTTATGTGAAACTAAAAGAGTCCGTCTCTGTAATAAAAAAAAGGATTAAGTTTTGAAATCGAATCCTAAAGTGTGTATGATCTGTTAATGTGGTGATGGTGTATTGTCTGTAAATGTGAATGGAAATAGATAGCTGAAGCTGCTTCATTTGGCATACTTTATTTATTAGAGAATCCGTGCAGATCATAAATGATTGAGTTACAAGTTGGTAACCTTGTGCATTTCCATAATACTTCACAAAACTAAGAGATTTCAGGTTGTACAGTTGGGACATCTGCGTTGGGGTTCTAACCACTGATGGGTCTGAGCAAAAACTGTGCTGAACTGTGCTTTGGGCATAGGTTTGTCTCGATAATTACTATTTTGACTTATCGTTCAGTATATGAAAGCTAAAACAATATATTTTGGTGCTCAAAATTTACCATGGTTCCTTTTCTTTGCAATAGTGGGGAGATTTTAGCAGTTTTTTCTTTAATAGGATAAGATTTGAGCTGTAGTGGTTGGAATAAATAACTTCTTTATCTAATTATTGGTTCATTCTGTTATTTGTTGCAGTTCAGTTGCAGCTTTTTAATGATACTGTATTATATTTAAAAATGCTTTGTTATAATTGTAATATATTGGCAATATGCTGTGCTTCAAAATGGGTTATTTGTTATCGCAATTTGGATAGAAGCCAAAAGCAAAAAATGTTTATATGGGATAGATGTCTGTGCTTTTCTCACACCTGAGGTTAGCAAAAGTTTGATTTCTCTGCTTGTTCTGCTGTTGTGACTCTTTATCCACTCAGGATTTCTTTTCTTTTCTCAGTCGCTTTCAGTGAGAGCCATCCCAGAACTTGAATCAGGAGTCGATCATTACTTTTGCAACCTTCATCTTGTCTTGAAGTCAAATATGAAAAATAAATAAAAAACATGATTAATTATTAAGAGTTCTTTCAGGTTGTGCTTCTCTGCATGGATGAATTCTGTTTTACTTCCTGGTAGTAAAAACAGTCAGACACCATGCTAAAGGAAACTTCATACTGACATTTCTGCAAAACAAGGACTCATGTGCCCTGTTGTTGGTTTGGTGTGAACACAAAATATGAATGAAAAAATGTAAAGTCTTGGATATTTTGCATTTAAATTCGTCACCCCTAGAAAAGCAATGTGGGGTTTTAAATACAACAAAAATATATTTTAATGCATTTATTACAGTACATATTAATATTTATGTAAAAATCCCAGAATTAGCCAAAAAGTCAGTAGTCCCATGATAATGCCAGTCTAAAAACATATGGAACATTTAATGTAACAGTGTACTATAAGGCAATTACATGATCAGAAATATTTACCCAATTCACAAAAAAGCTTCTCTGTTGTGCCTTAGTGAGAAGAAAAAGTAAAAATAAAAAATTTGAAAGCCTGTGACGAATCAGTGAAAACGGCTGTTTGCAGTTTATTGGACAACATGATGACACCTGTATTTGTCATAGGCTTATACTGAAGAGTTGGTCGACCTTCATCGCAGACTCATGGCTCTGCGGGAGCGCAACGTTCTACAACAGGTGAGACTTTAAATCTTTGAGAAATAATTAAATCAGTATAGACCTTTTTAATAAGCTCAGAATCTTAAAGAATCTTAAAAGGAAGTAGCTCTTAACACATCTTCAGTTCTGAGTTCACATTAGATCTAAATACTATTTTGAATACTCAGAATAGAATTGTCAGTGTTTTTTCTATATTAGTTTGCTTCACTATTTGCAATTAGCCTCTAGCGACAAAATGATATTTCAGCATAGCTTTGTTAATTATGTATATATGTTGATAAAATGGAAAACTATTGTGAGGTCAACATTTCAAAACTAAAAATCATGATTTTGTCTTCATCAAAGTTTATAAAAAGCTCTGATTATTCTATTCCCATTCATTCCTATCCCCAGCGTGTATCACAGGGCAGGTTAAACTTCTTCAGACATCCTCCCTGTCCATCTGCCTCACGTCAGCGCACCCCTTCTTGCCTTTTTTAACACTCTCGCTCCTCCTTGCGTATAGAGAGTATTTGCCTAATAAAATGCCAAATCTGTTATGTCACGATTTGTGTTTGGCTTGATAAATGTGCAATGTACAAATGTGCTAAATACCACTGTAAAACCAGTGCATGAAGTTTGCAAACCCCTCCCCCCGCCCCTTGTGCACCCTTCTCACCTTTTTCACCCGTTTTCACCCATTTTCATGTCTGATTTAAACTGTGTTTATTTGTCAAAAATACCAGATTTTTATATTTTGTGCTAATCTGCAGTTAGTCCTTGTTTATCCATTGAAATCTTATTATGTTCCACCTTACTTTTGCCCTCAGTCCATTCTGTGCTTTTAGAATATTTTAGTTTATAAACTTTTTGTAACATACTCATTAGGGATGCAACAATCCAGCTACTTCAGTTCTGATACCGATACTGATATCTTTTCATATTTGATATTAACCAAGACCAGTGAAAAAAGACACTTATTTCCTTAAAACACAGTTAACTTATTACACAAGAGATCCAATATTGTTTAAACATTATGAGACATTCTGGACCAAAATCAGAATATAAATAGACCCAACCAGCATATCGACTTAACCAATATTATAGAACTGATACACAATCTAGCCACATTTTCATTATTTTGTTCCCTAATACTCATCTGAATGTTTTCTCTTCTGATTCTCAGATCGTGAACTTGATCGAGGAGACGGGACACTTCAACGTGACCAACACCACCTTTGACTTTGACCTTTTTTCACTGGACGAATCCACTGTCCGTAAACTACAGAGCTACCTGGAGGCCACAGCCACGTGACAGGACGCCGACCCCAAACTAAACTACCAAACATCCACACAAACTAGACTCACAAGCACACATGGGGTCTCCTCCGTGCTGCGTTCAAGGACTGCAGGAACAAAGTGAAGAGGAGGACAAACTAGGATTTTTACTGAACAATGTTTTTACTTTTGAGTGTATGCAGAGCGATAAAACTCAACACAATGTCAGGGCTGCACAGTATTAGAAAAGACTCGATTTTAAATATTCTAATAATGTTTTTAACAATGTAATACTCCCAATGGATAACATCAAATTGAAAAAAAATAAGTTAAAGATGTACTAAGTAACTTTTCTGATTGAGGTGTGCGCCATGTGCTTGTCTCCATGGAGATTTTGCCGTGCTTGGAATGTTCCACAGTATGGCTTTATGGCAGTATGGTGTTACTAGACTCAAATTACCTTGCAGAATATGTATTATTACAGTGAGCAGGGGCGCCTCTCCACAGATCTGACCAGTGCCTAGGCCAGATATTGTCATCCTCTTGTCTCCATGGAGCTAGATACGTTCCACAGGGCTGACCCAGCACCAGAAAAGTTACACAGTGCTTCTTTAACTTGGACTGAACCATACCTAGACAAGATTTTAACAACATTTTGAGATTTTCCTGAACTCAACTGAACGCTACCTTTTTAAATTACAAAAACACTCAACGTTTTTAGCCTGTTTTAATTCTAATCTACAGTCTACACAATATCGTGCAGCCCTGCCCACTCCCCTGTCTGGTTCTTCTCGTTTCACCCCTTCTCAGTGCTCCTTCCCGGGCCGCCCCTCGCTGCCCCTCCCCCTGGGGTCAGCTGGAGCTCATTTCTTTGCCGGCGTTTCCCCAAAAAACCCTCAGAGTTTGGGCACAAGAGGCCGGGGCTCGAGTTCAGATGTTGCCTTTGTGAGGGTCCAAACCGCAGCTGGTGTCTCTCCTTCAGTGCTGCTTTTACAAACACATTACAGGCAAATAATAGAACAATACAAGTCCAACGACGCGGTCTGTTTACACGCCACTTGAGAAAATTGAGTTAATATGGAGATTTAAAGATACACTGCGTAACCTTTCTTGTGGAGTGTCTGCAATCTGCTTGTCTCTGTTTAGGTTTGTGAGTTCTCAGTATGGCATTCAAATTTTTCACTTGAATTTATTGGATTACAGGCATTTAAATAGGCAAAAAATACCATCAAAAACATGCATTCTTATTGTGAGTGGGCTCGCCTCTTCACAGATGTGATCTATAACTTTGCCTGATGGTTAGGGTGACCAGATATTCTGAATTCTAAACTAGGACACACCCAGGTTGGGATGGTTGGTATAAATAAAATTGTGAAAAGAGTGTGTAACATTCTTGTGTCAGTCGTCATCTGAGGGATTTTTGTCGCTTTTTTTTGCTTTATGGTAATTTGAAAACACTTTTTTCTGTATTTTGATAAAACAAATGACAACTTATGCTCCTCTTTACTGTTGGCAAGGATCTGATTCGTCAAAAATTGTGATAGTTCTGTTTTAGTCCAGGTTTAAACTTGATGTAGTCCTGGTTTAGTCTTTGTTTAGTCTTGGTTCAGACCTGTTTTAGATCAAATTGGTCAAAAATAGGGACACCTCAGACATTTCTTGTATAAAACTTGGACAAATCACTGCTTTTGTATAAATCTGCTGGGACAGGGGACACAGGACTCAAAACTGGGACTGTCTCGGATAAACAGAGACATTTGGTCACCCTATTGATGGTGTTACCTGTTTGTCCCCGTTGAAATAGACAAATTAAATTCTGTACTGTGGAAGATCCCAGGCACAGCAATGGCATTATCACCATGGAGACAAGCAGCTTGCAGATACTCCACAAGAAATGTTACGCACTGCACCTTTAATTAATTACGTCTGAAATGAAGGTTATCTATGCACATTAGGCGAATTTCTCAAAAACAAGTTAATTTGCTTTCTGAAGGAATCTTGACAGTAGACTTCATAAAACAAAACGCTGTGACTTCTGGACATGTTTTTGAAAGTTGAGCCTTGCCCTCTGCGATTCTGCCCCCTCCTAACTACACCCGGCCCCTCCGAAATACCCCTACCCCTTCCAAACTACCCCTGCCCCTCTCATAGTGTCTCGCATGAACTCAACTGCCTTCTAGTGCCACCTGGTAGGGCTAAGGGGGGATACGTTTAATACTGAGCTAGGCCTGTCACGATAATTACTACATCGGCTTCCATAATGAAACTATCCTTTTAAGGGGTCAATAGTGATCATCCGGACTGTTTCTTGGTTAAAATGGGTAGCTTTTTGTTATTTTTTGCGATAAGATTCGAGATAGACCGATATATAGAGCCGATATTTGGACTTTTTAGTGTATCAGCTGTCTGCCTTAAATCTCCAGCACAGGCCGATATAAATTTTGATCCATCTGCTGCCTAAAAATATGAAAACAATATCGACAGAGATTATCGGCCCTCAGTTGTTCTGGATTCTAAACCATCAGTACCGATATCAGCCATGAAAAAAAACATATCAGTTGATGTCTAGAAGGAAATTATGGGGCTGCACGATCTGGGAAAAATATCGAATTGAGACAAACATTATGATTTAGATTTAAGTTTTAATAATAGGATTTTGTTCAGAGTTTATGTTTTAAAAGTGACCAGAAGAACTGACAAAAAGACTGAAATGTAAACTGTCAAAAATAATACAAGAATCACATTTTAAAAGATGTTTGTACAGATCATAGACTGTATATAGAAGCAGACTAAGGGAGTGTGACATCACCCATTGTGTCTCCAGTCAAATGAAGCTCACCGACGCCTGCGGTTAAAGGAGCAAATCTGTAGCCAAGGGATTTATTAATGAACAAAATATAGAAGTAAAAACACTAGAGCGGGTTAATACAGACATTTTAAGACCTAAATGACGAGGCTCAATACAGCAGTGTTTCAATGTGAAGTGTTGAGTTGATACAGCCAGAAGTGCCACATGCTCACTTCCTATTTGGATCATGGCAGCTAATGGTTGAGAGATGTCCATTTATATATACAGTCTATGGTACTGATTTAAACTACAGGGTTAGTCATTTTTATGGAGAATAAGACAGGATATTTTGTTTTGTCAAGGAAATGAGGATAGTTTGCATTAGCGTCCATTAAAATTTGTATTAGATTGTGATTAATCTTGCAGCCCTACTAAACTGCCCCTATGCTTTATTATAGATAATGTCTAACTCAAAGCTAGCTCATAGTTTTTAACAATACACGTAATTCTGAAAAGGTTTAAAGGTGCACTATGTGACTTTTTGGTTTGGTCGTCACCTGCTTGTTTTTAAAGATATGTCATTTCTCTGCCTGGAATGTTCCAAAGTGTGACATTAAACAGCTCTACCTTACATTTATTCAATTACAAACAGTTTTATAGCTCAGAAATACTTAGAAAAACAGGTATTCTGGCTGAGCGGAGTCACCTCTCCACAGATCTGACCTGTAACTTGGTCCGGTTTTGATCTTCAAGAAGATAAAATGCTTTAATGCCATACTGTGAAACATTCCAGACAAAGCAATAACATCTTCACGGAGAAAAGCATTTGACGGACTCTACGCCAGAAAAGTTACACAATGCGCCTTTAACCGGGCTTTAGGGTTACTGCGTCAGTAGCATCTATTTCTTCCAATATTATCCTTTATCTTTAGCAATATTTCACGTTTCAAAATTTATCGTGACAGGCCTAAACAAAGCCGTGAAAAGTAGCCATAATCGTCTCCCAGATTCCAAAAAAACAAAACAAAACGAAAAAAAAAAAAAAAAAAGAATTAAAGGGGCCACGCTTTCGAAAGTTTTATTTTTGTACAACGTGTGTATTTATTCCCAGATTGCGAGCTATGAATGTATATAAAACGCTTTTACTTTTTTACCGCTAACTACAGCTCCTCTCCTAGTGCCTTTTCTTCAACTTGAGTGAGAGGGGGGTTAGCCATGGTCAGTCCCCCTGTCTTCCCTCGGGGGGCGCCAGTGTTAATTGGGATGCCTGAATCTCCAGTATTGTCTTAATAACTGCTTACATTTCTGTCCATTATCGTCCGCTGTCTTCTCATCGTGAATGGTCTTTTTAAATGGTTTTCTCAACTGTAGGTGGTCATTTTCTCTTTAGCGATGGTAGATTCCGTGTTGAAAAGGGAGCCTGTTTAATTATTAGCGGTAGTTTTAGCTCCGTGTTGTGCTTTTGAGAGGCTGAGAAGCGGTTGTTTTTGAATGGGCCTTTTTTTTTTCCCCCTCGAAGTACTTTTGTGGGCTACCGGTGGAGCAGTTCCAAGCTCTTCAAAAGCTAATAGAAATGTATCCTAACAAAGCCTCTTAGCAACCAGCTCCCAGTGTCTCACAACGGCTGTAGCTTGCATGATGAACGGTTTTCTCTGGGTAAATCCTCCGTGATATTAAAGCTGCACTGTGTAACTTTCCATGCTTTTGCTCAGAATTGTTCCGCAATATGGCATTTCACATGTATCTGTCGTGCATTTGTTCAATTACATGTGGGGCTGCATCTCCATTAGGGATGTAACAGTAACCAAAATATCGTGATATCATATCGTCAAAAGTGTCACTAGAATATCGTAGGCTGTCACAGTATTTCAAATTTACAAGTTTCTTTGTTTAAATGCTTGGTTTTTTAGTAGCAACAGCTTATAAACATCGGGAACTACATATCCCATGATTCATTTCATTGCAGAAAACACAAAGAAATTAGTTTTTACTTGAATTCTTGGGATTATGATGAAAATAATTCACACCAAAATCTTGTCAAGGTATTTTAAAAGCAAAATAAATATCACAATAAATATCGTATCGTGAGATTTATGTCGTGATAATATCGTATCGAGAGATTTGGATATCGTGACATCCCTAATCTCCACAGTTCTGACTTGCTTGTTTTGGATTTAAGTTTAATGCCATACTGCGGGACATTCAAGGCAAAACAGTTGGATCTCCATGGAGACAAGTAGCGGGCACTTGACTAGAAAAGTTACCTCGTGCAGCTTTAATTTTTACACAGGTTATACAGTCTCACAAAGCTGGCAAGGTTAATGATCAAGTCTTTTTTTTTTTTTTTTTTTTATTAACTAAAAAATTTATATTATTTTGATTACTGATAATATTTAACAACATACATTTTATTTAAATTTTTTTCTGTTTAAGGAAATTATAATTTAGTTTTACATTAAAAAAAAAAAAACATAAAGGGCTAAACCAGTATTATTATGATGTCATTTTGAACAAGGCTCCCACTGCACTGATGTAAGGTTTGCAATTCTCAACCAAAAAGATCTTATAAACACATTTTTTAATATCAAAATAATTACATCATCATGAGTTTAGTGCATTTTTATTCTTTTTTACTTTATTTTTTATTATTGTAACCTTTATTTAACCAGTTGAATCCCATTGAGATTTAAAACTGACCAAGAGGCTGCAAAGTTTGACACATACTTTGTTAGTGTAGATTGTGATCTTCCTGTAATAAAAAGCTCACGATCCACAGGTTTCAAAGTGGTGAGAGCTTTGCCATAGAAATTAACTAAATTCAAAATATCGTTTAAATTGTCTGAAGTCCTCAAAATGGCGTCCATTACAGGAAACTGAAACCCTTGAATGTAAGAGCTAGGGAATGTCAAAAAACAAATGTTGCGAAATCTTATGTTTTGTAATCATGTCCATAGATATACATTAGTGACCAGTTATATTACTATTAACATCACACTATAGACTGTATAAAGATGTGGACTAAGAGAGTGTGTCGTCACCCATAGGCTACGTTCAGACTGCAGGGTTAATTGTCAATTTGGATTTTTTTGTGAAATCTGATATTTTTTGCGAGGTCTTTCACATATCCATTTAAATACGACTTGTATGTGATCTCCAGTGTGAACTTTAAAAGCCCCAAAAGTGTCCCACATGCGCAATGTAGGACATGATGACATCACATGAAGCGAGCATGCTCAGTGTTTACAGAAAAGTAGAAAAAGGAGCAAAAAGTCTGAAAAATCTGATTTGTGTCGTTCAGACTGTCATTAAAAGATCAGATACAGGTCTCACAGGGGCCAAAAAATCTGATTTGGGTCACTTCAGGCTGCAGTCTGAACGTAGCCATAGCGTTCAGCTCCAGTCAAATGAAGCTCATCTAAGCTTACAGTTATAGGAGTTTATGAAATATGGTGAAATAAAAACAGCAGGATCATGTAGAGTGGGTTAATATGAACATTTTAAGACCAAATTGACAAGGCTCTCAGTAGCAGTTACAGAGAGGGGCGACAATTTTTCAATGTTAAGTCAGTTGGAGCCAGAGTTGATGGAGCCAGAAGCGCCCCCATGCTCACTTCCTATTTGGAACGCAGCAGCTAGCGGGTTATCTACATCCTTTTATATATACACAGTCTGTGCTACTAATTAAAAAGCATAATACAAGCTCAGGTTTTTAGCAGGACTCAACACTAACTGAATAAACTACAATAAATTGCTTAGGAACAGTCCAATTACATCGAGTAATCTCAGCTTCATTTATATCTACTGCCTCATTCACTGTCGTGTAGCTTCACTCTAAACCTTAATATAATCATCTCCATTTTGCGTCGGACCCAGAGGAGATGTAATTCTGTTAATTAGACGAATCTTGTGTCTGTTTTTATCTCATTACTCACCAACTCTCACGGGGAGTTTGTGATTATGTTTACAGACACCACTGTGTGCGAGGCTGCCTCCATGCGGTTTTAATTACATGCACTGATCACTGTTCATTTTTAGGATTAAAAGAGCCGTGCCGGGTTTTTACTGTCTTAAGAAACGTGGAAAAACAGAAGTAGTTCATTTAAAACAGTTTACAGTGGTCCAAAGTTGCATTCAGAGCGTCCTAATTATTGACAGTGACGTGTTTATAAGTGTTTTTCACAACTTGCAGAGACCAAAGTGGTGTTTTGTCGCGATGGTAAAGCTAAGAATCACTAATGCTAACCACATACTTCCTGATTTTCAAACATTAAAACACTTACACACCAGACTTGTTTTGACCTCAAGAGCTGCTTATACTATATATCTGTACACCTTTTGCTTTAAAGGTGCATTGCGTGAAGTGCGTCACCTGCTTGTTTCCATGGAGATGTCATTGCCCTGCCTGGAATGTTCCACAGTGTGACATTAAACAGCTCTACTTAACATTTTTCAATTACAGATGGTTTTATAGCTCAAAAATACCTAGAAAAACAGGCATTCTGACTGTGAGCGGGGTTTCCTCTCCACAGATCTGACCTGTATCTTGGTCTCGAAGATAGAGAGGTTTAATGCCATACTGTGAAACATTCCAGACGAAGCATGAACATCTCCATGGAGAAAAGTATTTGACGGACGCTCCATCAGAAAAATTACACAACACACCTTTAAAGTATTTTAAACTAAGCAGAGGTGTGTAGAGTACTCAAAAAATTTTACTCAGTAGTTACTTCAAAATATTATTACTCAAGTAGAAATACAAAGTAGCGGGGAAACTGTTTCTTAATTAAAGTAAGAGTAATTATAATTGTCTGCGCGTTACATCTAATATATAAATTGAAGGACAAAACATTAGATAATACAAGAAACCTGATATTTTCAAAGGTTAGACCACAAATGTATGAAAAACTAAACCATATATACTCGCATAACTCAAGTAAAAATACTGTTACACTGTAAAATATACTACTCAAGTGGAAGTAAAAGTACTGGGTCTAAAAACTACTCCAAGAAGTACCATTAACTGAGTACTACCACCTCTGCGATTGTGTTTTATCAGACTATTACTACACTACTTTTCATGCCGAAACAAAGCACAAATGTCCACTAAGATCACATATTACGAAGGGCAAATATAGAACTGTATTTTATAATTATTTTAAAATGATTGTTGTCTATTTAAGCTGGTTAAAACTGTAAAAAAGCGATAATACAACTTGGCATTACAGTACTTCTGCGTTAATTCACATTTTAGTGCCTTTCTATCCTCTGTATTTGCAGATTTCTGTCTATATATGCATACACAAAAATCACCTATTATTATAGTATTACACTACACTGAATTTTAGCTATTTCAACTGATTAATCATTTATTTTTTGTTGTTGTTGCTGATCAAGCCAGAGCCAGCTTTGTGAGACATGATTTTGGAACGTTTTCCGACTTTTCCGACTTGTGGTTTCTGGTTTCCCTTCAAAACTGAATACACAACTCACTGTGTTTAAAGCCTGGTCCATTCACTTCAATAGCTTTAATCTACTGTTGTGTTGCCTATTCTCGACTCTGTGATAAACGACATCTGATTTTTAATGTAAAACGTGTCTCCATGGTGACGCCTTACGTGCCCTAAAATAAGCCCTTTGCTTCCTGTGATTTATTTCAGAAGTTTTTTTCCATCAGTTGGTAAAATATGGGTCTTTGCGATCACTGCTTGCTTACTTTAAAATTAATTTTTACTCTATCGACGGTTACTGAAGTTTTAAAGATGCATTGTGTAGCTTTTCTGGTAGGTGTTCAGCTTTTTCTAGAGATGTTTTACTTTGCCTGGAATGCTCCACAGTACAGCATTAAACGTGTCTTCCATCTAGCATTCATATCCTTAAAGTTGTTTTTATTGCTCATTTTTACTGTAAGTGGGGTCGCCTCTCCACGTATCTGACCTGTAACTTGCTCGCTGGCACTTGTTTGAGAATTTTAATGCCATACTGTGAAACATTCTATCTAGGTAAAGCTATAACTTCTCCAAGGAAACAAGCACATGCCTCTTTTTTTATTTTAATCTTGTGAAAACGCACTGTGTAACATGAATTGTTTTTAACAGAGCGAAGAACAAGGAAGGACGGCTTTAAAGTATTTGTTAAGACGTAAATTTTCCCTTTTTTTACATTTAATTTTTAATTTTTTTATTGCGCCCTTATCTCCGTGGTTTATTTTTTAACTCCCATCTTTCCTACATTCAAACTGCAGGTTGCGTTCATTTGCAAACTCTCAGATTGCAGATGTTTTGACCTGGCTTTTGGTTCATATCTCTGTAATTACTGGGCCTATCCACATGAAACAAAAACTGGCACCAAGTTTAAAGTCTTCTCTGTCAGTATAACTAAACAAAAGTCAAATTATTTTATCACAATAGCTTCAGAAAGTGGTGCAAAGGCGCAATTGCTGTCAGTAGAAATAGCATTAAAGGCCTCATATTACGTTATTTTCTGATCCATGTTATGTTGTTTCCTCATCACAAACAAACCTGGAGTTGTGTTTTGTTTCATTCACACATGTTTAACACACAAACACTCCTTCCAACTTGTGATGAACTAAAGGTAAAAGGAGATGTTCATTTGAAAACTACTGCTTCATGACATCACAAGGTGGAGCAGAGCATTTTGAGCTTTGGAAATGTAGACAGACTTGTAATAAAGGCTTACTCAAACATGTGTGAATGAAACAAAACACAAATCCAGGTGTGTTTTTGAGGAGACAACAACATTATATCATCTTTCAAAGGTCAATTTTGTGTAAGATAGGCCCTTAAAGACATTATGAACCAATATTATAATGATGGGATTAAACATTTGTGGATTTTAATTTTAGGTATTTCCCTGAATCTCCCACAGAAAACATAAAACATCAAATTCTACAACGTGATCGCAACCTATGACCAAACCCAAACAGAAATGGTTGTAAAAGTGATCTCAAATTGGCCCACATTATTTGGAAACAGTTGTTAAAGTGATCTTAATCTGACCCATATTATTTGGAAACAGTTATAAAAGTGATCTCAATCTGACCCATATTTTTGGAAAC